TCTTGTTGGTCAAATCATTAGCCTAGATAATAGATGAGAGGTAGACAATAGCCCATGGGCCAAACCCAGACCTCTGCCCTTTTTATAAGTAAAGTTTTATTAAATTGCACCTAAGCTTAGTCATTTATATATTGTGGCTTTCACTTTAAATGGAAGAGTTGAATTATTGCAACAGAAATTGTATGACCAACAAAACTTAAAGTATTTACTATCTGGCCCTTTGTAGAATAAATTTGTCACACATAGCCCCCCCTTCCCCCAACCTAGATCATTCTCTTGTGTAGAAAGAATGAATTCCGCTTGAATAATGTCTATCAGATTCTCAGGGAATTGAAAAATTTTCCATGCTATCAAATCCAGATCCTTTGCCGATTGGAATAGAAATGAGGACCCAGAGATAGGTTTACTAAATTAGGACTCAGGAGTGGATCATTCATTCATTCATTCATTCATTCATTTCACATAATATACCACCACCACTGTAGTAAATACCAGGGTTAGAGTGTGAATAGGTAAAGCTTCTAGCCTCAGGGTATATAACATTGATGAGGGAGACAAACAGTGACCAGTTCATTTTCTCATTCATTCATTATCTGTTATGTGCATGCCAGAAATATTTTAGGTCCTGGGTATATGCCAGTTAACCACACAAACCATGCTTCTGATGGGGGAGAGAGATAATAAGAACATATAAAAATAGCAGATATTGGTAAGGCTATGATAAGAGTATTAAACTATATGAAATTGAGATGTTTTAATAGGTCAAAAATGGTTGAATATTGGCAATTTTATATGGTCAACCTATCCGAGAGATACGATAGAGAGTGACTTTTGAATGATTTTAAATTGGGGTGGGAAGCTTGGGACAGATTCACTGAGGGGGCATCTGAGCTACGACCTGAATGACAAGCATCATCCTGCCCTACAAATATATAATACCAACAATTTCCAGGCAGGGAGAAGCGTAGCTTGTGCAAATGTCCTAAGGCCAAAATAAGTCTGGCTTGTTTGAGGAAGAGACAGAAGGCCCGAGTGGCTGAAGCAATGTGGGCTGTGGGGACCGAGCTAGAATGTGGCTGGAGAGCTAGTCAGGGCTAGGTCAGATGGGGTCTTGTCGGTTAGGATAAGGATACAGACTTTTATTTCAACAGTAAAGGGGAGGCTTTTAAATAGAAAAGTCACATGATCTGATTTATGGCTTCTGAAGTGTTTTCATTGCTCTTGTGTGGAAAATAGACTGTGAGAGCAAGAACTCAAGCAGGGAAATGTGCTGGGAGGTCGGACAAAGTTCTGAGCAAAACAAGACAATAGCAAGCAAAGGTGGAGAAAAGTGGAGCGTCTGTAGATGCTTAGGGGTTGAAATCAATGTTAATAACGTGGATATAATTCAGAAGTTAAAATGAGGGATTAGGGAGGATGCCTAGCTTTCCAATTTGAATACCTGGCTAGATAGCTGCGTGACTCACAAACCAGCGAGCACCAGAAAAGCACCAGGTCTTGCGGGAGACTACAGATATAGTTTGCAACCTGTTGAGGTTGAGTCATCTTTAAGACATACCATTAGCTATACTGAGAACTGTGGGAGCTCTGAGGAAAGGTCTGGGTTGAGCCTTCTGAAACTGTGGGAGGAGAGATGGGGAGAGAAGTGAAGGCCAGTACAACCCCTCAGCAGACAAGATGGTTACAGACAAGGGGTGTGGAGGCAACTGGTTCCGTTAATGAGTGCTGGGACCTCACCTGTCACTTCATCTTTTGTGCTCCGTTCCCTCATCTCTAAATGGGAGAGTTAAACTAAATTTGAGGTTTTCCAGACTCTTCCACAGAGGTGACACAGGGGCTGGGGAAGGGGTATAGCAAGGCCAGGTATTCAGAGTTCCTTCCCCTGCTGACTCTCACTATCAACTTCCCCCCCTCTCCACCTCAAGCAATATCCATGAACATTAAATCTTGTATTACTCATATGGCCAGATTTGTCTTTTATTCTTTTTATCGTGGGTCTACTACATTGTCATTTCCTTTTTCTTCTGTGCACTAAGAATATTTTTTCTTGATTTAGCTGATTTTGATCCTTTTCTTTGAATGAAGTTTTCGTGTTTGCACTTTGCCAATGATCAAGAGGGGAGTCTTGAAAATGGCCAGCGAGTCTTTTGGTGGAAATTAGGTTTCTTTTATGCCCCTTATGGTAGACATTAAATTAAAAAAGGCCAGCAGCACCATTCCCAGACCTGACTTTTCCATTTGACAAAATAGACCAAGGATGATGTCAAATACATAGTTCTTGAGAAAGGTTTATGACCTGAACTTGTTTCCCACCAGCAGATCATGTCTGAAAACACTAAATTATGGTGTTGGCAGATTTAAAAATTGTTCCTCACAATCACTTTTTAAGCAACAGGTTTGGCCGAACTCCAGGCTGTATACCTGCAGCAAACATCTGAAAACAGTCTATACAGGTTTGATAGCCTTTTGGCTGTTATAAACCACACATTCTGCTCATTTGTTCATCAGACAAGGGCAGTGACAGGGTTCCTTTTCCTTGCTGGAATGGGGTCTCTCACCCCTGGATTTCGAAAGCATTCTACTGACGTAACTCATATCATCTACGACCCTGTATGGCATCAGCACACACGTCTTCGTTGATCTGCTAGATTATCCCATTTACAAGGTCACGCTGTGTCTCTGCTTCTCCCACATACGATAGGCAGAGACTTATTTTTGGCAACTCAGTGGTTTCAATGAGTCAGAACTAGCCAAAAGGATGGCTCCTTGTAAACAACTAAGGGACTTAAAATGCAATTCATAAACACTACCCCCTTTAGAATTCCTTGGGAAAGGCTTACATAGTGTAAAAGCTGATGGAATAATGCTTGCCAAGAAGAGGTGTGGACAGAATGAACTTGGTGTACCTGAAGTGGTCAATGTCAAAATGTTTGTCTTTGGCAGGGCTTTGCAACCCATGTTTGGGAAGCTTTACGGACTCTGGCCATAAAGTTAACTTCACATGTGTCAGGGACACCTTTAGGGGAAAGGCAACAGTGTCACTGAATTTTAAATGGGTTAAGACATGACCTCATTATCAAAAAAGGCCTTTGGAGGGCTTCATTTTCAAAATTTGTAATCGTCAGCACACATTCTCGAAACTTAGGGGCCCACCCTTCCACTTGTGCAATAATATTAATAAGTTAATCACCCAAAACAGTTTTTTAAAGCACTCTTAACCATTTCAACTTTAGAAATAGGTTACTAATCCAGTTAAAGGAAAAAATGAAATTCATTCTAATAGCGTCATCCTAAGAACATTTACAGACCTACTTCATCTCTCAATTACAAATCAAATTTAAACCTACAAACAAGAGAAACATCACTGACAGACTCATAAAACTGTTTGTACCGTTTCATCTAGAAATCCTTGCAATTATTTAACAAAAGCAAAAAGCTATATGCACAAAGATGTTCACTGTGTTGTTGTTAATACAAGTCAAGGACTGGAAACAATCTAAATTTTCAACAAATGGTAATTTAGTAAATATTATGGTGCTTTATTGAGCTATTAAATCATGGTTATGAAGTTAGGCAGAAACATGGAAATATGTTTGATATTTAACTGCAAAGAGAACAGATTATAATATGGCACACACTATCGGGTATGCCAAAAAAATGTACACATTTTAAGAGATGTTATCTTTGTATTACTTTTTAAAGTTGAATTGAGTTACGGTAGCAATGTGTAGCATGATGTTCACTCAAAACATGGCGTTAATCAAATGAGTATTAGCGTCATTCATTGTATTAAAATTTTAATAATTTTTTTTCCTTTGTTGAAATGTGTATATTTTTGGCACCCTCTGTATATACTGTACAGCATGTATACACGTGAAGTTCTAGAAAGCCAGATGCAAGAATTTGTAAAAAGAAAAAAAATTGAGAGGCGTATTGGCCATTTTTCTTTTATTTGCTATTTTCTATAATGTTGCTGCTTTTAAAAATAAGAAAAGTAGACAAACACAAAGGCAAAACTCATGAGAGGGAAATAATAGCTAATTAATATAAGATGTATGTCAGGAAAGAGGTCCCAGTAACATACACTTCGACTTTTATTCCTTATTTGGGTCTTGGTTTAGTGCCTGCCAATGGGACGATGTTTGGGGCTAGGTATTTGGGACATGACACTGTACAGAACCACTTTTAATAAAAATCCCTCGATTACACATTTTTGTATTTTAAAAATTGCCTAAAGTGCTTTTTGCTGGAAAATACCATTTGGTGTGACATTAAGGCTACAAATTCATCGTGAACTCTACCAAAGGAATCAGCTGACACTCAGGTGAGGGAACCAGGAACTGTGTCACTCTGAGCCACTTGGCTGCAATTTTTCTGGGCCACTGAGAGAGGCAAAGGTCATAGTTCACCTTTTTAGGCACATTCAGAGAAAGACCTTATTTCGTAAATTCTACTCAGTCCGTGTTAAGGTCAGCTGAGTGTCTCGAGCTATTCCAAAACTGACACAGGGAAAAGCAGGGATAATAGAAGGAAGACACGTTCCCACAGGCACTTTTTACAAGAAGAGCAGGAATAGTGTTTTCTGGAAAAAGTTCATTTGTTTGTTTTTTAATAGGCAGTCCCAGAAGTTTGCGACATCCCCTCTCATCTCTTTGGGGCCCCATTAAACGCAATACGAATAAATACCACCAGAGCTGGTTCCTGGGAGTGCGCTGGTATCAGGAATCGCTTCAGTAAGAGTGCACGCGCTCTCATTAAAATGCATCCGTACTCCCCTCTTGGAGTGAAACTGAGGGCTTCTCACGCCTGGCTTTGCACATCTGCTGGAAAGTGGTGTCCCTATCGACACGGAGTGTTCCTCCTACACGCAGATCTGCAGTCCCTGAAACCCACCCCAGGCATTTCACGTCGCATCCCGCGTTCCTTAATTGGGGTGGGGGTGGGGAGGAATTTGGCCATAAACTGAAACAGCGATGGGAGAGAAAGAAAAGCAGGCCTACCTTAAAACTTTCCAGTCTTTGAGTGGATCCAAGTCAGAGATTAAGGAAACCATTGTCTAAGAAGCCGGCTGAGAGCGAATCCAGTCCGAGAGGAGGGGTGAGGGGGTGGGTGCAGGGGAAGGAGCCGGCAGGCAGCCTTCTCGGCTCAGGCCAGCGCGACTGGGCGTCCAGCGCAGCTCTTCCTACTTGTAGGATTGATAAGCACTTGTCCTGGCTTTCCTCCACCCCCCAAATCAATCTTGCTCTATTATTACTTCCCAGCCACAGCTCATTTCTCCACACCACCTTTGACAGCCCTTGTAATCTGCTCCAACTGATCAAATTTGACCTTTTTGTAGCCCACTTTATTCCAAGCACAGCTGTCCGTTAAATCTCTCTTTATTAACACCGTCCTCCTTGGCTTTCTTTTGGAACAAACACAGATCAAGCCTGAAGCCTCCAGACTTTACCAGCAATCATTTACAGATTACTGCAAGCTGCAGCCCTCTCCTCCTTTGGGGCATTCCTGCTGCCTCCGAGATTTTGCTTTCATATTCCTGTCAGAAGACTGGTTAGGTTTCTTTCTTCCCTTTTTTTTTTTTTTTTTTTTTTTTGTGGTTTGGGTTCTGTCTGGGACCGCCAGCCTTGGGCTTAGTTCGAACTTCCCTCAGAGGCTGTAACTACATGACTGTTAGGATTTGTTTTTTAAAAATAATTTGGAACCCGGCTGCTAACAAGCCAGAATTTACAGTGTGTTTTCTGGCAGAGATTTTGCTACACTGTTTTCTTTTTCCCCCCTTTCTTTCTTGTGTTTTTAAATAGCATGGGGTGGGGGTGGGGGGGGGGAGGCTGTAGAATCTCTCTAAACATTAAGAGAAAGGGGAGTGGGCTTTTCTCTCTCAGCATAGATATCTTTTGTCCTTTATTTAAAACCGAACATCCTTTCAATAATCATCTGAAACCATGAATAACGGATGTTTTAAAAATATCAAGAGCAGGATTGTCTTCCTCTAGTATCTATAGTTCTCTTCCGACTTGTCCTGATGTAGTTCTTTGTTGAGTACTGAGATTTCTTCTTTTCATAAGCTCTGTCCCGTAAGCATGGTTTTCTGCTTTCCCAGGTCCTACCTCAGACTCTACAGCTGACGCTCTTCCTCCTGTCCTTACAGGGTCCTAGAATTAGAAGACCTTGGAATTATCTAGAACAGGGACCTCCAGACCGTGATCTCTCAGGTCATTGAGATTTTCATTACATGCCACGGGAGCTTCACGTGACGGTCTTTCCCTTTAAATCAAATTCCTCTTTTTCTTACACTTATTTTTAAAAGCATTTTTTAAGATCATTACCATAAATAGAAAAATCAGCTTCCCTGGTTTAACAACACAATTTGTATTGTACCTAGATACATGGACTGGCTACAGGCACTAATAGAGGCCTTTTCTCTCTTGCTTAAAAAGAGTTTAGTGAGTGTTACGGGGTGATATGGACACTCTTGCACCAACCAGAGACTTTCCCCTACAAGAAAAAGTAAACATTGGGTTGTCGGGAAAGTCATGACATATTTTTCTGTGTTTTTCAATGCAAAAGTGCATCATGACTTTTCCGACGACGCAATATTTAAAGAGAGTAGAGTGCAATTCAATGTTTTGAAATGACCTTACTACCTAAAATCATCAGCCAGGAGGAAGGGTTCCAAGTTTTTGCCTTCAGGCAGAACCTCCAGAGGAAAGAATCTGTTCAGTCACCGGGAAAGGTGTGGTGACAGCTTTGGAAAGCAGGCTGCTTTTACAGTCAGTAAGCTCTTCCAGTCCATTCTAAATGCCCCTCACAGCATTTTCAATCTGTTCCCCGTTACCCTTTTCTCCCAGGACCCCATCCTTAAAATATGCTGCAAACACTCAGTGTAGATGTGTTTTCTCTTTAACTGTCATATATACTTCCCTAAATGGCTGTAAATGACTCTCTCTAGAAATGCAACTATCTTTATGCTAAAATTAAAGAGAATTTCAGACCTTTTACCAACACCATTGCCTCTCTGGGGCTATTCCCCCCCCCCCCATTGCCTGTCCCTGTCCCACTAAGGATCTTGGGTCACACTGTAATAATGTATAAACATTTACAGAACACCTCTAATCCCCAGCTACTTCACCAAATGTGGGTGATAATAACAGCATTCGTGTAGAGTGCACCTCCAAACATTTCCGAATGCTTAGATCATTAATAAAGTGTTTCTCCCTTTAGAAAGTTAGCAAGAGAAAAACCAAAGTTGATAATGAAATGGTTTCTGTGACTACAGTGACATCATCCTTATGTCATTAACCCACCACACCCCTGAATTCAGATCTGGGGAAGGAAGGGGAAGGAGTCTTTAACCCCTGGAGTTCAGGGTTAATGGGTGAAAGGGGGAGGGACTTGGCTTTCAGCCAGAGGACAAAAGGACAAAAGCATGCTCATAAGTTACGGAAATACTGTTTTAAAGCAGTCATCTTTCCCAAAACTTTGTAAAGGCAGTCGAAACTTTCCCTTGAATACAATCTTGCACCAAGTCCAAGTACAGAAACAGGCAATAGTGAAAGTTGACCAGCAGGTATGAGGAACTGTTCTAATTTCTTTAGGTATGTTAACTCGTTCAGTTCTCATAGCCCACTTGTTAGTGAGGTGAGTTACCAGGAGCACCCCCATTTTGTTAATGCACGTGAGGACATTTGGGTATGCAGAAGGGAGCAACTGGCCTGAGCTCACAGGCTAGTCACCCACAGGGGGAGGTGTGGGACCTAGAAGGTGTCCCTAAGGGACCCCGTTGGAGCAACCACTGCAGGGCACTCCTTCCCATGCATCTCCTGCTTCACTCCCAAGGTGCCCTAGAGACACCCCCACCTTCAGGAGGACACACTTTGAAATCCACTTCCTGAAGGTATTTGGTGATGGGGGAGTTAAGTAATCTATTAAAGGTGTATTGAGTCCAAAACAAACTGAATATTGTGCTCTACTCTTTCTTAATTTTGAGGACCAAGTGTTGTCTTAATACATCGTAGATTCATTCCATGCTTTATAGATTGCAGATTTCCTTTTTCCTGTCCCCCTAAGCATTCTGAGTCTGAACAGCTTTGCATCAAAAGGATACATTTCCTACTAAGAAAAAGGCCATCAAAATGATGGTACCCTTCAACTACAAGGGTGCTCACTCAGCCAACTGACAAAGCCAACCAACAAAAATACTGCCCTGTTTAAAACTGGGCCAACTATTCACCTGTAACTCAAGAAAAGCAATAATAAACTTTCTATACATAAAACTCAAAGGCTAAGTTTAGTCTTGAGAAAGGTTGAGCTTAGCCCAGGCTTAAAAATATAATTTCCTCTATGTTGCAGTATGAATGGCACAATATCATTTCATTTGTCTTCTTTTTCTCATATTTTGATAAATTTACCCCTTAAAAAAATCAAATTATTTTGTTGTTGCTCGTAATGCCTCTTCAATAGTTGGCTCTTCTGAAGGGTCCCTGTGTGTTACAAAAGAACCAATCCACAAAAAGCAACATCCGTGATTGTCCCTCTAGGACCAGAAACAAGACTCATAATTCTCCTTTTAGTATAAATAAGACTTCCCGTGATACCCCTCTCTCTTCCCAGGTACAGAAACCAAAACCAAAATCCAAATCCAAGCGGAAAATCATGTCACTGTTTGTATCTCTTTCATCCAAACAAAGCCCCCAGCCCTCAGCTCCAAGTCCTGTAAACCTGTGGCTTCCATGTGTGTTGGGATTAGAGCCACCTAGGAAGCAAATTGCAGTGCAGGATCTCAGTGAGGAGACACCAGCAGGAGCCAAGGCATGTGGGTTTCATAGAAGACCTAGGTGCTCACAGAACACCCTGGGAAATGCTAAGGCAGAGTCAGGAAGCAGAAAATTTACCCTGGTCATATGACATCCCAGGTGGGTTTTCATATGGTTGTGGGTGATGTCACTGGAACCAGAGGTGCGGGATCTGTAGGGCTCATCTTATATGTTATAGAGCAGCAAGAAGCACCCGGAGGTGTGAATTAGCCAAGAAAGAAGGAAAACAAGCATTCTCCACCAGCTGGGAGTTGGACCAACTATGAAACAGAGGTTCAGAAAGACAGGTATAGGGCCTGCCGAGTGGCGCGATGGTTAAGAACTGCTTTGGGATGCCAGAGGGCCCCGGTTCGGATCCCACATATGAGGGCCAGTGACACTGCCC